AACTTTAACAGAATGTTTTTTTTATTATTATTTCGTTCAGAAATATATACAAAGAAGGCCTTACATGCACAAACAGAAGCGTGAAGTAATACAATTACAACAGTAGACAGACATTAGGAAAGAAATACATCAAACCGGATAAAAGGGAGAAAGTAATAATAATGGAAAATAAAACAAATTACGATTCTAAAAGATTTTATTTTTATATGAACATTTAAATGGGTTGTGAAAGGGCTACATGGTACTAAATTCGTTGAAAAATGTAGCTACGTGCACTTATTTTGGCGTTGACAGGAACAAGAAGTTAACAACATCCGGCCGCGAGTCCATCTTTTCTGGGGAGAATAATAACAGGGTGGAGGATGTTTTCAGCTCAGCCGAGATGACTGCTCCGTGTCGTGTCTGAGAGCGGCAGTGAAGCGTCCTCTTATGGCGGGACTGGCGCATTTGGTGCTGCGTGTTTCGGGCTCGTACGGCGTGTTTTCTAAAGGCCTCAGCAGGACTTTGCTCATCTTCTTTGATCTCGCCTGGAGACTCAGAGTCAGATTCCCATATCTGTATGTCATCGCCTCCATGATGTTCAACGTGCGACTACAGGTGACAAGTTGTCTGTCTGTCTTATTTGAAAATGTCTGCCTGTCTATGAAAGACTATATCATTCTGTCTGTCTATCTGTTTGATGGTTGTCTACCTACCTACCTGTCTGTATGTCTGTCTGTATCTATTCAGTGCGTCTCTCTCTCTCTCTCTCTCTCTCTCTCTCTCTCTCTCTCTCTCTTTCTGTCTGTCTGTCTGTCTGCCTGTCTATCTAGCTATCTGTATGTCTGTTCATCTTTATGTCTGTCATTATGTCTGTCTGCTGTCTAATATTTCTGTCTATCTATCTTTCTGTTTCTCTGTCGGTTATCTATCTATCTATCTATCTATCTATCTATCTATCTATCTGTCTGTCTGTCTGTCTGTCTGTCTGTCTGTCTGTCTGTCTGTCTGTCTGTCTGTCTGTCTGTCTGTCTGTCTGTCTTTCTGTCTGTCGTTTCTAACTCTGTTTGTCTGTCTAGCTGTTGTCTGTATGTATGTCTGTTTCTGTCTATCTGTTGTCTATAAAACTGTCTGTCTGTATCTCTGTACTCTACATATCTATGTCTGTCTGTCTGTTTTCTTGTTGTCTATCCGTTGTCTGTCTGTCTGTCGAATGTCTATAATACCTGTCCAGCTATAGTCTATATATCTGTGTCTGTCTGTCTGTCTGTCTGTCTGTCTGTCTGTCTGTGTCTTTATGTCGGTCTGTCTGTATCTGTTGTCTATATATCAGTCTGTCTGTAGTCTTTATATTTGTGTCTGTCTATCTGTCTAGTTGTCTGTATGTCTGTCTGTTGTCTATCTAGCTGTCTGTCTGTCTATCTGTGTCTGTCTATCTATTTGTCTGTCTGTCTGTTGTCTATAATATATGTCTGTATGTAGTCTATATATCTCTATCTAGTTGTCTGTCTGTCAGTTGTCTTTAATGTCTGTCTGTAGTCTATATAACTCTGTCTGTCTGTCTGTCTGTCTGTCTGTCTAGTTGTCTGTCTGTATTTTATATCTCTGTCTGTCGGTCTGTCGGTTGTGTATAATATCCATCTATCTGTAGTCTATATATCTCTGTCTATCTAGTTGTCTGTCTGTCAGTTGTCTTTAATGTCTGTCTGTACTTTATATATCTCTGTCTGTCTGTCTGTTATCTATCTAGTTGTCTGTCTGTATTATATATATCTGTGTCTTTCTGTCTGTCGGTTGTCTATAATATTTGTCTGTCGGTAGTCTATATATCTCCCTCTGTCTGTCTGTCTATCTGTTGTCTATCTAGTTGTCTCTCTGTAGTCTATATATCTGTGTCTGTCTGTATATCGGTTGTCTATAATATCTGTCTGTCAGTAGTTTATATATCTGTGTCTGTCTGTCTGTCTCTGTCTGTTGGTTTATAATATTTGTCTGTCTGTAGTCTGTATATGTCTGTCTGTCTGTCTATCTAGTTGTCTGTCTGTATTCTATATATCTCTGTCTGTCTATCTGTCGGTTGTCTATAATATCTGTCTGTAGTCTATATATCTCTGTCTATCTAGTTGTCTGTCTGTAGTCTATATATCTCTGTCTGTCTATCTGTCGGTTGTCTATAATATCTGTCTGTAGTCTATAGATCTCTGTCTGTCTAGCTGTCTGTCAGTTGTCTTTAATGTCTGTCTGTAGTCTATATATGTCTGACTGTGTAGTTGTCTGTATGTCTGTCAGTCTGTAGTCTATATATCTCTGTCTGTTTGTCTGTCTGTCGGTTGTTTATAATATTTGTCTGTCTGTAGTCTATATATGTCTGTCTGTCTATCTAGTTGTCTGTCTGTCTGTCTATCTAGTTGTCTGTCTGTAGTCTATATATCTCTGTCTGTCTGTCGGTTGGTTGTCTATAACAGGGGTTTTCAAACTGGGGTCCGAGGACCCCTGGTGGGCCGCAAGAGAAGGCTAGGGGGTCCGCGAAAAACTTGGCGGAAACGAAAAATAATTTTTATGAGATATTTTTTCCAATCCTAAATTTATTAATGACTATAAATTATTAATCTATATATAATTTTATGATTTATACAAGTGGATACTTAATAGTATTGTTTTTATCCCAAAATCCTTTGCCCTCTTTAAGGCTTTGCATACAATTAGCGGCTGTAAGTGCAGTACAGATGATGGAAAGATTTTTAAAGAATCCCGCTCCTGCAAGCAGTTCATGCAAATCTGACTTGGCGAGGGTTAAGGCAAAAACCAGAAAATAGAACAAATCTTACATTGCGCTTGGTTTTACCTGCATGTTAAAGCAGGAAGTCGATATACCTCAGTGTGTTCTTTGTCAAGCGATTCTCTTCAATGAATGCATGAAACCATCCAAGCTCAAGCGCCATCTACATCAGAAACATTCCAATGAGGCAGAAAAATCGACAATTTCAAACATCAGGAGTTATGTTTGGCCTGGCAGGCTAGTATTTTTCAGCAGCAAGCATTAATCCCTGTGAGGTGTTTAAAATTATATATGTGGCATCACTCCACATGGCGCGTACTAAGAAGTCGCACACAGTTGGCGAAGCATTGTTATTATCAGCTACCAAAGACATCGTCAAAGAATTATTTGGAGAGGAAGCGGCACGAAAGGTAGATTGTGTGCCTTTTTCAGACAACACAGTAAGCAGACGCATACGTTCAATGTAAACATTTTGCAGTTTTCCATAAAAACAAGACAGGGGGAAAAAAAAACTAGAAAAAAAAGGTTTAACTTTTCATCTACCACTGCCTCATTTAGAAAAGCTATCTTTTTCAGTTAATGTAAATATTTCATTGTTTTTAATGAAATTAAAAAATTGAGAATAATTTTTGGCTTTAGTGAGTTGCCAACTAATAAAATAAATAGTTTTAAAAATAATACCATTTTGCATGCCTGTGAAATACAAACTATAGTGTCTTTACGCGTACAGAATTTTAGTTTACATATTTATACTTGAAATATATAAGTGCTTTTAAACTTTAGGCAAAGGGGTCTCCTGCAAGAAATCATCATATTTGGGGGTCCCTGAGATTAAAAAGTTTGAAAACCCCTGGTCTATAATATATGTTTGTCTGCAGTCTATATACCTCTGTCTATCTAGTTGTCTGTCTGTCAGTTGTCTTTAATGTCTGTCTGTAGTCTACATATGTCTGACTGTCTAGTTTTCTGTATGTCTGTCTGTCAGTCAGTAGTCTATATATCTGTGTCTGTCTGTCGGTTGTCTATAATATCTGTCTGTCTGTAGTCTATATATCTATGTCTGTCTATCTATCCAGTTGTCTGTCTGTCTGTCTGTCTATGTGATGTCTATCTGTATGTATGTCTCAATGTCTGTCTGTCTTTCTGTCTATTTGTCTGTATCTCTGCCTATCTAGCTCTCTGTATGTCTGTCTATCTAGCTGTTGTCTATCTGTCTGTCTACCTGTATGTCTATCTACCCTTATGTCGATCTAATCTGAATACAGAATCCATTCTGAACTTTTGAGAATCGATTCAGAATCACAAGAGAAAGAATCGCGATTCATCAATGAATACATTTGTTTTCTCCCACTCCTATTATTATTATTATTATTATTTTTAATATTACTATTATATATATATATATATATATATATATATATATATATATATATATATATATATATATATATATATATATATATATATATATATATATATATATATATATATATATATATATATATATATATATGTATATTTTTTTGATGTATTTGTTTTTATTAGTTTGAGCAGGCGATTTCTCATGCTAATCTGGTGTTTGTGCTCTTTCAGGTTCACATTGAGATTCATTGATTGGCTCAGAAGGGTTGCCAGATCTCCATTTCACCTGCACTCAACAATGACTGTCAGTTCTGTGTTGATCAGTGAAGCAAACTCATATCCTCTAGAAGAAAACATGCTGACGGGAATATTTCTGACACAGCGGACATCAGCTTCTTCTCAGTGCGTTCACAGGAATGTATGATGAGCAGACTCGTGTTACTTTTTAGACAGGTAAATAGCTCAAAAGCCCAGCCGCTGGACAGCAATTTATCCATCGGTGAATGAAGGAATAGATGAGCTGCTGATCTCCAGTGATTTTAACATGATGAAGACTCCACTCCACCAGTGTTCTACTTCACACTCGCACTGTTTTGCATTATTTTCTTGCATATCGAGAGATTTCAGTGGACATGCTGACTTAGTTTAGTCTGTTTCCCACAGTGCATGACAGACACTGTACATGCAGACTACACACATACACACACACAGTGGCTACTGTTACAGAAAATACAGGGATTTGTATATATACTATACATTTATTTGTTTGTGTTTTTTATTATCATTAAATCTGTGCATTATATAATATGGCAAGTGCATTTTGGGAATGTTTTGAATGTAAATGAGGTTTTCAACTGACAATAAATTATGATGAGATATATTTCAACCTATATCAATGTCTCTTTAAAACACACAAACATCCATCCATCTACAAATCTATCTATCTATCTATCTATCTATCTATCTATCTATCTATCTATCTATCTATCTATCTATCTATCTATCTATCTATCTATCTATCTATCTATCTATCTATCTATCTATCTATCTATCTATCTATCTATCTATCTATCTATCTATCTATCTATCCATCCATCCATCCATCCATCCATCCATCCACAAATGTATCTATCTACAAGTCCATCTATCATCCATTTATATTCATTCATCCATCCATCCATCCATCCATCCACTCATCTATCTATCTACAAATCCATCCATCTATATTGATCTATCTATCTATCTATCTATCTATCTATCTATCTATCTATCTATCTATCTATCTATCCGTCTGTCCGTCCGTCCGTCCGTCCGTCCGTCTGTCTATCTATCTATCTATCTATCTATCTATCTATCTATCTATCTATCTATCTATCTATCTATCTATCTATCTATCTACAAATGTATCTATCTACAAATGTATCCATCCATCCATCCATCCATCCATTCATCCATCCATCCATCCATCCATCAGTCCGTCTGTCTGTCTGTCTGTCTGTCTATCTATCTATCTATCTATCTATCTATCTGTCTATCTATCATGTCTACAAATGTATCTATCTATCTATCTACAAATGTATCCATCCATCCATCCATCTATCTACAAATGTATCTCTACAAATCCATCCATCCATCCACTCATCTATCTTTCTAAAAAACCATCCATCATCCATCTATATTCATCCATCCATCCATTCATCTATCTATCTACAACTCCATCCATCATCCATCTATATTCATCCACCCATCCACTCATCTATCTATCTACATGTATCTGTCTGTCTATCTATCTACTTATTTAAAAAACTACTTTCAAAAAGGTAAACTTTGCAAGCAAAATTGCAGTTCAGTTTTTAGACACACGATGGCGCTGTTACATTTACAGCTTTTTCTTTTTCATGCATTGGAACATTGACTAAAACCCTGCATTCATAAAACAGACAATAACACTTGATAATTATTAATAATGTTGGCATTCATTAATAGTAATAGTAACAATAACAACAACACTAATAATAATTACATCAATAATAATAATACAAACCATTTTTTTTTCAGGAATCTGAGACATTATTCTGTTATTAGTCTGGAAAAAAGCACTAGTCTTCTGTTTTTTTTTTCTTTCTTTTTTAAATCAAACAAAATAGTTTTTCATAAATGCCAAGAGACACTAAAGAAACAGATTATTGACCAACCTAATGAATTAATCAATCCTGCAAATCTTTAAAGGGACGATTCATCATCATTTACTTACCCTTTATTTGTTTCAAACATTTGAGTTTTTTTTCCACTTAAATGCAAAAGAAAACATTTTGAAGTAAGCTGAAAAACTGTAGCCTTTGACTTTCATAGTATTTGGTTTTCCTACTATGAATGTCAATGGGAGGCGTCACGGGGCGCAGTGGGTAGAAGGTTGCTAGTTTGAGCCCCGGCTGGGTCAGTTGCCATTTCTTTGTGGAGTTTGCATGTTCTCCCCGCGTTGGCGTGGGTTTCCTCCAGGTGCTCCGGTTTCCCCCACAGTCCAAAGACGTGCGTTCTAGGTGAATTGAATAAGCTAAATTGACCGTTGTGGATGAGTGTGAAAAAGTGTGTATAGGTGTTTCCCAGTGTTGGGTTGCAGCTGGAAGGGCGTCCGCTGCGTAAAACATACTAGATAAGTTGGGCTCAGGTAGATCTCGAGAACTCCCCTGCTGTAGTAACTAATGAACAGACAGTGATTGCTAGGAACATGTCTATGGTGCTGATTTGGATTAGTCAATTAACTTGTTAATGCTAATTAATTAATGCTAATTAGCATGTTTTTGGACGGTGGGAAGAAACCGGGGAACCCGGGGGAAACCCAAGTGAGCACGGGGAAAACGTGTAAACTCCGCACAGAAACGTCGGCTGGTTTAGTAAGGACTAGAACCAGTGACGTTCTTGCTGTGAGGCCACCGTGCCACCTATCTAACAAAGGAGGAGAAATAGGGGTGGAAGGGGGGATTCTTCAAAATAGAGATGCCTGTCATATGGAACTTAGAGTATTTATAGTGGCTTTGGAATCGTCTGATTGGTCAATCATAAATTGAATAATACGTGACCAGCTAAAAGCAATCATAAGCACGTGATCCTCTCCAAATTTATAAATATATAAATCTTATAAAAATATAAATATTATAAATAAACTTCATTTTGTAAATCAATAAACACCTCATGAGTGAAACACGTTTGTTTACACAAAAGAGTGTGTGTAATCAAAATGGTTGACACTTGTTTCTAATGATGTGATCAAAGCAAAACACATAAGCCTATTCTGAGTGCAGATTCTGTTTTGTTGATGTTAGTATCAGTATTGTTGATATCTGAATGCCATTTTACATACTGAAAGCAGCAGCAGATAGTTCACCTCAGATCTTGAAAATAAAATAAGCCATTTAAAATTGAACTTTAGAACTGTGACAAACCAACACATATCAGTGATTTAGCATCTACATTTAATAATGTTAAAGAGGTTTAATATGTATTAATTAGATCTCTGTGATTATGAACAAGAGAAGAATAAACGGTCAAATGAAATTTTTAAATTTAGGAGAAAAGAGAAGCAGATCGGTTTTGACTGTACAAGGGCAATACCGTTTGAGGGGCCGATGGCATCAACGGCAGCTTGTTGAGAAGAGTAGGAACAGTACAGTATGGACAGATCAGAATTTATGAAAAAATCTCTTGTAATAACAAAAAATTGCTAGATTTGTTGCTAGTCACTTTTTTTTTTTAATTTGTTGCTAGGGGGTCTGAAAAGTTGCTAAATATAGCAACAAAGTTGCTAAGTTGGCAACACTGTTTAAATTTCTATCGTGTTTTGTTTGGTGCAAACAGCCAAATTGCTTATCACAGCAAATCTCATCACATAATTTGTTGTTAAGACACAGGGTTACAATCTACACTGTAAAAAATTCAGGGTTCCACACAATTTAATTAAGTTAATCTAACACTTTTAACAAATTCATGTGGATTAAACGTAAAAAATTAAGTTGGCCCAATGAAATCTCAAAAATTGTGTTGTTTCAGCTCATTTCAATTAAGTAGTTTGAACCAAGCGGCTACCTCCCGCTCTCTCTCAGGAAGCCAATACGGAAGTAACTAAAACTGCAATTCATCCGAATTTCCGCTAGTCCTGGGCGCTCCTCGCTCCAGAACGGAGCAAATTACAATTGAGCCCACTGTTAGAATGGCCAACTTTACAGCAGAAAAAAAGGTGTTTACAGCCTGGTACAAAAAAAGATTTTAATTAATACAGCTAATATTACCCTTCATGACAACTGTGAGGGGGTGAATTTTTTTATAACTCATCCGTTTCCTTTATATTAAGTTATATTAAGTTTGCATAATTAAGGGCGTGGCCACTTGAGTGACAGCTAGGTCTCGTTGGTCGCCGTCACGTCACCCAAGCTGAATCCAGCAGGTTAGCCACTGAACTCTGCATATTCATCGTATTTCTGTGTTGTTTTATGTGGCTTTACACAGTCAACTGCCTTTTGGACTTGTTTCCTACAATTATTAGATGGCATGGCATGCTGAGTGCACTTAATTGTGCTCACAAACCATTCACGTGGCCTCCGTTTCCCATGTGAGTAAAGTTTTATACTTATATACCATCTCTATACATGTATTTGTTTTATTTAAGATCATTTATCATTTATATTTATATTTAGAGCTGTAATTCACTCTAGAATCTGATTAATTGATTAGCTGTAGGCTCTAGAACAGTCATCTGAAGCGTTGTCATACAGTGTTATGCTGGATTTCATCAATAGTCTTACATTAACTAACACAGACTACATCTGAAGTGTTTGGAAGTAATTCGCGTTTTCCTCCTGTTGAAAAATGTCATAAGAACAATGTTTGGTAGCTCAATGTATTGCAGCAGTGTTTTTAAAAGTCTAAACACTTCATTGATATAGTTAACAACCAAGCACAAGTGGTCAGAATACAAACGAGTCACAGGTGATAAAGTATTAAGCGTTCTCCCAAAGTAAAGTGTGTCTGAACCAGGTCCAAGCTAAATGCCAGCAGGTGTCTGTAGCTCCGCTCACTCTCCGCCTCTTTGCCCTTGTTTGGTATCCCGCCGTGGGTGTGATGACGCGCGAACAAAATGGCAACGGTTGGCCGCGCCTACTTGTGGCTTCTTTTGCGCTCTTTAGAAACCTATGGGTGACGTCACGGATACTACGTCCATATATTTTACAGTCTATGGTTTGAACAAGTAACAAAATATATATTTTTTGAGTGTAACCTTCTCATCTAATGTTTACTTTGTAATATTCATATTATTCGCTTACTAATAACCTCATGTGGAACTCAGAATCTGTGTCTCATTTCGGCGACTGCTTCTGTCCACCGGAGGTTGAATTTCAGTCACAGACTCATGGTTTGAAGACCTTTATCACAGAATGAATCAAATACATCAAATAAATGTTTTCCACCAAGGCAACCCAGGGTGCTGAAATATAATTGGCTAAACTAGCAGTGGGCGGGTTGAAAGAACCAAAACAAAGACAGACGGTCTAGCACGCAACACACATTTTCAAAGCAGAATATCTGACTTCAGCGTTGTTTTTCAGATATACAAGAATGCTCACTTAGCATGTTTCTTAAACATCTGCAAATATATTATGGTGTTTTATGCTTTAGAAGAGTCAACAACTTACATACAGCACCTTTAAGTGTGTGTAAGATCTATAAATATGCAGCAATTGTCTGTTGTGTGCCTCAGAGAAGGTTAAAGGCCAGATCTTTCCTCATGCAGAGTTCAGCAGTGTTTGCTTGACATCAGAATAGTGTAAAATACTGTTGCCAAGGAAACTGCCCAAATGTCTGCATGCCGAGCTGCTGCACACACAC